TTGTTAATTATTATTATTATTATTATTATTATTATTATTATTATTATTATTATTATTATTATTATTATTATTATTATAATAAATATTAGTAGTCTGAGGTTTTATCCATTATTACATCATTGAATTTAATAACCATACCGATAACCATGCTAATTAATCATCTTAATTGGCTCCGTACTTTTTCTCTTGCTCGCTAAAAAATTGCTAAAAAATTGGAAAGGTACATAATTCTCTTAGATTCAGATTCGCATACGGTTAGATGTTTGATTTAGCTTGCTCATGTTGTATGATTCATTTCTCGTGGGCAATGCACCGCGTCGTAATCATTGGCAGAATTCTCCCGCATTATGAATGACGCCTACTAACTGGATGCTGACTGGTGGTTGAATAGAGATACACGAACGTAGGAAGGTGATCTTTAATTAGCTGACATCGACTTCCGGTATATGTGAACACGCGGAATAAAAATGTTTCTTGGTGCAGCGTATTTCGTGTCGTCATGGCAAGTATCCTTGGTTGCTATGTGAGTAGCAGAAAGACTCGTCGAGATGAAGCTAGCTTCGTTGAATCCGCGAATTACAAACGCGGATGACAAACCAATATCCTTATCTCTCCGTTACAGCAATGACAATTTCATTGCGAGAAATAAAATGCGTTCGCCGAATAGATAATTGTTTAATGGCAGATTCCTTTAGAGAGAGATAATTCTGTTCGATAATACTCTTTTATATTTTATTAGAAGAACTGAATTTCCTTCAGAAATTCTGAAGATGAGTGAATTTTGATTATAAAAATTAAATAGTCATGATGGCGAATTTTATTATTTTATTTTTAGCAAAATTTTGTTTATCTGCGCTATTTTTTTATGTTAATTAATAAAATTAATCGATTTGTAGATACTCTGGACTGCGCTTTCGGTAGCGCTGGGTGTCGAGCTGAGGGGCGACTTGATACGAGGCGCGCCATGCATCAAGAAATACCATCAATTGTTCTGCCCGACCGCTGGAAATACATATCCAATGTGCGTATAAATAATTTTATTTTTATTATTTTTAAATAAATGTGTAATTAGAGATAGCGCGATTACATCTAACCAATGTAACCAAACGAAACTTATTAGCGGAGAACACAATCACAAAGAGAGATCGTTGCAACTTGCAATCTGCTAATGTGGAATCGCTGCTTAATCATGTGTTGCAGAGAACGGATAGAACGTTTTATCGACGAAAATAAAGCACTGATGAAAAGGATGTACGGTGACTTCGAGATGAATTCGGGATACGGGTCGAGCGAGCCCAGGCATCGCACTAGGACGCGAAGAAAAAGTAGGGAAACGCGAAAACTCGATATCCCAGACGGCGGGCCCAGAGATGACGAATCGGATGTAGAAAGCGAGATCGGCGAGGATTTTTTTAGCAGGAATAGAAATACCAGGCAGTCCTTCGGGAAAAACCGCGGCACCGAGAGCGGCAGGTGAGACTCGGGAGTCACTTTTTTTTATTGTCAATATTTTATTTTATATACAAATAATTTTATACCCCTTTTTTGCATTGTTATCGTTGTTATGATTTGGCGTGACGCATCTGTTGATACCGTATTCAATGATAATGAATTTTTTATATAATTCGTGACGTCCAGACGATTTTCTCTTCTTATTTCTCTTCGATTCTTTCTTCTTATTTATTTTTCTCGCTTATGTCTCTTCGATTCTTTCTTCTTATTTATTTTTCTCGCGAAACGAGGGTGATTAGGCGTAACGAGCCGAGTATTTTTACGATAACGATTGCAGAATCGACGCGTGCGAATCGAAGGTCGAAATTGTGACGCCCTATTGGGCGAGCAACAGCGCCGGGAAGATTCGCGCTATCGTGAACACACAGCATTTCGAGCAGGCGATACACCAAGAAGTGTGCTCGTGAGTAAAAGAGCTTCCTTTCCCGATCATTTATATTTATTTTATTTCTTATTTTTATTATTAGCAAAATGAGCACCTCGTCGAGTACTCTTTGCAGGAAAGCGCAGACGAATCGATGCAGCGGAGACTGCGGATGCGAGCAGAAGTACAAGTGGCACAGGTTGCTCGCATACGACCCAGACAATGATTGTAAGGGTATATTCATGGACTGGTTTCTGTTCCCCTCTTGCTGCGTATGCAGATGCGACCCGGTCAACAGCAAGTTCTCCTCGTCTAGTGCTCGAAACTGATCTGAAGGATTGACACGGAGATCGAAAGGCGTGCCATGTAAACTGCGACTGCTCTGCTCGTTCCCAATGCATTCCAACGATTTATTACGATGATTTGTAACAACAAATCAAAGATCAGATCAAGATCGAGATCACCTACAGCTTAATACTGAAAAATCAAGAAACGTCACAAAATATTTAAAAAATTTTGCAGTGCTTAAAAATTGCACAACAGATATTTCTTTGCCGTTTTATTAACGAATTATTATTAGTTATAAGAAATATTTACTCAGCGAGGTATAATTTCTTTTCAAATATATATGATTTAAATATTTAATTATTCTTCTCTCTTTTGTGTGACTTTTGATTTCATTTATCCTTGCTTTGTTATAATTTATATAATATATCAAGATAATTTTCTTGATTTTAGATCTTAGGTATTAAAATTAGAGAAAATCTTATTGCGCTAATAACATTAATGTTTTAGAAAATGACGAACGAGGTTAGATTGTAAAGTAAAAACGTATTATTACCGCGCATTTGTGGATTCTAAATATTTACTTACTAGACCTGTCAGGTTAATTAAAACATTCGGCAGCCGATTGGCGATTAACGATTTGTCCGTCACGACTATGAATTAAATTTGTATTTGTAAAGCAGCGTACATAAATGATTTGAGGCATCTGTCGAATGATCGATAAATCGTGAATCGTGTGTAGACGATGTCGGGAATTTCGCATAATGCATAGTGCAGAACTATTTTTTTGTGATTCACAGATTTTATTTGTACAAGCGGAAGATAAATACTATCGTTTCTAGGTTTGTTTTTTTTTTTTTAGATAATTGCCGATTGAAACTATAATGAAGTGTCATTAGCGATTTCGCGATTGAACGTCGACGCGCGCAAAGCGTGTTATTTTACTTCGTACTTTGTACGTGCGGAGCTCTTCTTTAATCGATCATGAAACGCGAATGCTCGAGCATGAGCTGGAATGAATCCTAAGAATAAGTCCTCCTTGAGGAGGACTTATCTCGCCATAGGGCACATAACTCTTTCTTAAAAGTAGCTTCTCTAATTTTTATACATCGCCTTACGTTAAAGCGATTACATTTTAATTTGGGCAAAGTTATAATATAATCACCTCATCTAAATGTCTGTATCTAAATGTAAGAATGAGGAAAAGAATATTATTGTGTGTACGTAGAAAAGGGATATATTATATACACGTATATATATGAATGTCGTATGTATTTTCAATGTATGTTGGCAGCGGCCAATCCCTTGAGAACACATTTATCCATTATTCCAGTGTTTTTCAAAATGGGAATCGCGAAGGGGAATCCCCGAAATTTCCATTTATATACATATTTGACTTATTACATAGCAAATAAAATATATCGATAAGATTCATAATTATTTGTTTAATAAATTTTGTTAAAAATTTTTAAATGTAAAAACGTATTTAAATTTTTAATAAAATTAGTAAAATAATCCTTAGCTTTATTCGAAGGCTAAAAGTGGAGAGTCGCGACTTTTTATTTCGCGTTTTCTACCTATAAAAAGGATCCCGACTCGGAGAAGTCTTTTTGAAAAACACTGCATTATTCTAATTGCTGGACGGATACCTGATAAGCTCTCTTATTTACGCCTTCGCTCTTAACACTAGTTAAGGTATACTCCCGTGACAAAAAGAGAGGAAGACGTGAAGAGTAATGAGAGGAAACGCTCAAGGTAATGCCTACTTAAGACGAAACAAGGTTGAACCAATGAAGCCGGGACGCAACAACGACAGGTTCCAATTCGTTCTACATGGTGTAATTATTACGGGCAACTGCCCGTAATCGAGCGCGCAGAAATACGATATACGGGGTCGAGTTGTGCCCTCTTGTCGATTAGGCCGTATTTAAGGCTCGTTGGTTTGAAAACCATTCCCCCGGAAAGAAAAGTCAAGATTTCCACACCATATGGATTATGTTATATTCCTTTATTTTGTACTTACAGCAACTCCGGTTGAATCCAATATATATTAATCATAAACTCTGCGCGCGCTTATAATTTTCATCGGCTCGTAATTTTTGTTTCGCAATAATCGCCTTTGTTGCCGGGAGAAAATTACGCAAGACCTCTTCGGCCGCACTTTTTTTTTTTACGCGTCTCTCTCGAATCGTCAGTCGAGTCGGGGAAACAACGCGCTTGTTCGCAGTGAAAGTTTGTTAGTCGTAGATTGACAACATTAAGTATTTCGTAGCTATCGTGCGAATCTTCGCTCTTCTTCCTCCTGCCTCTCCTTTTCTTTCTTTCTTGACCTTCTTTTTTTTTCATTTACAACTATCGCTCGGTTTTTATCATAGGGTTAAAGGGCGTATTTGGAATGGTGGAAGGCGCAGGCGAGGACGATCATCGCGGCGACGTAGAGCAGCCGCACCGCGGAGGCGCCGGTCGCGGAATTGCACAAATCGCTGCTGCAGATGTGGCAGGACTCGATTACGTCACGTCCTGGCTGCGACATAGAGTTACCGCATTGACCGTCGACGATCTCCATTTCATCATGATACGGCGTGGAGCACTGGCGTATGATTATTCGCTCGCCGTATTCTAAACATAGATTAATCGTTTAAAAGATAACAGGGATTTTCGGCACGCTCCGAAAGCTCGATCCGAAAAAGACCGTCATTCACGTCGGGATGGAATTCTATTTATAGTTCTATCGTCTAAGGTCGTGACGAAACGTCCGAGAGAATCCAAGCGCAATGCGTATACAAACACGCACATGCATAAATATATATATGTTTTTTTTAAATAAATTATAAATTTAACATAGATTGTTAACTTGAATTATTAATAATTGTATAATTTATATTAATAAATATATATATATATATATATATATATATATATATATATAATAATATATAT